TGCAAGAGCAGCCAGTGCTCTTAACTGTTGAGCCATCTCTCCAGTCCCAGATTGACTGCATTTCTTAAGGTGAAGTTCACTCTAAAATTGTTTTAAGCTTGAACTGTGATATTTGCAGATAAAATCTAATAGCCACAAATTGTTCAAAATGATTTATTATATATGATTTATAGACATTCCAGAACTATGATGGCTCATATTCCATTTATCATATGTGCTTTTGATATCGGAAATATTGTGACAGCAAAAAATATTATTTAATCCTTCTCTCAAATTCCATTTCTTGAGAGGGGCAAGGGGAATGGAAGTCATGTTTATAGTACAGGTTGGCCAAGAAATCATTATATAATCCAGGCTGGTCTTGAACTCATGATCCTGTTGTCACAGTCTCCTGAGTGTTGGGATTACTGGCCTATATCAGCACACCTGCCTCAAATTCCCATATTTTTATCTAAATCCCTCTTCATTTTATATAAACTTTATATCCAGGATAATGGGGTTGGAAATGTACCTCAGTGGTTGAGGTTGTGCTTAGCAAATGCAAATAACCTGTATAAAAAATAAGGGCACAGGTCACGGTAGTACACTCCTATCATCCTAGCACTTGGAAGGTAGAGGCAGAAGGTGCAAGACTTCAAAGTAATCTTCAGCTACATAGTGAGTTTGAGGCTACCCTGGGCTATATGAGATTTTTGTCTTTAAAAAAAGTGGTGGGGCTGGAGAGATGCCTCAGTGGTTAACAGCATTTGCTGCTAGTGCAGAGGACTTGTGTTCAGTTCCCAACACCCACATGACAGCTCACAACCATCTGTAACTCCAGTTCCAAGTAATCAAATGCCCTTTTATGACTTCCATAGGCATCACGCATGGATGCAATGCACACACATGCAGTCAAACACACATATAAAATAAAAATCAGTAAATCTTCTTTTAAATGGTAATGATGCCTGAACTGGGTAAGAATTATACAGATTTATTTTGCATAAGACTGTATGCAAGACAGTATACTTGCTCTGTTTTTGATAAAATATGTAGCAAATATTAAGCTACTTAGGCTGAAATCTTGCATGTTTAATTAATCTGTTTATAAAATATCTTTATTTGGACCCTTTGCAAGTACCTTCTGCTTTAGAATGCCCTTTCCCTATTAGGTCACCTAGAAAATGCCAACTTTTCCTTTAAGATCAAATATAATCTGTTTTGTGAAGGTTTCCATGACTTTTTTAGTCATGTTTAAAGCTTCTCCTCATTTTGCATATATAATGCAGTAAGTGATTATTTTATATATCTTTAAGGTTCATATTTGCATACATCATATTTGTTCACAGTAATCAAGGACTTTTATTTTTCAGCCATTTTGTACCTAGGTATCAGATCCATAGCCTCATGAATGCTAAGCAAGTATTCTACCACTGAGCTGTACTCTCAACCCCAAACCTTTTCTACCTGGTTTTAACAACCCCTTTCTTCATTTCCTAAAATATTCCTACTGATTCGGCTTCAGTGTCAAGTTCCTTTCTAATTCGCACCTCTTTATCCTTCCTATTCTGATTCATTTGTCTTCTCTAGATGCTTCCATGAGAGCACTCCTATCTTTCTTTCTATAATACTTCTTCCAAATGTTTTCAGTGACTTCAAGAAAATTTTGGAGCAAATTTTAATTTTTCTCCGCATAATGTACTCAATAACTTGAGATTCATTTGCAACTTTAAGATGAACAAAAAAGGTCCTTCATTTCACCAGAAATATTGTACCAAATGACTCTTATGTTCTTTCCATAATTTCTAAAGGTAAGATTTATCTCAACTGGACTCCATATGTCAACTGATAAAAGCAAAATCATTTAATTTCCAATCTCAGAAAAATATAATTTGAAATAATTCTTACTTTACTTATCTGGCTAGCTTTTAGTGATGGTCTTAGAGGTTTTGGAGAACAGAAAAGTATCTGAACAATTTATCTGAAACATCTCAGGTTGAGAGTGACTCACCGGTATTCCTTGGTGTACTCAAAGTCTTGTTTGTTGAAGGCAGGTTTTAGGAAATTGCACTCAATGACTCCAATTACTCCTACACCTTCTCCACAAGTTGGCTTAGAAGAAAAATATTAATTTCAACACATTACTATTAACTACCTGGAGGCGTTTACTTTTGATTCCTAACAATAATGAAAAGTTTACACAATGTTCATGAGTAAGGAAAGAAGAGGAACACTTAGAATATATTTCAATAGACTGCCAAGTATTACATGGAATTAGAAACTCTGTAGAGCAGAGATTTTTCAAACAATGACGCACAGACCCCCTATGATTCTTCAGGATTGATGGCTATATCTTTGCTTCACTCAAAGAACGTCAATTTTCATCTTTTTTGTATTCTAGGACTGCCAAAAGATTGACTGGAATAAAGAATTGCACCACTAAAAAGTAAGATTACATAACAATATTCTTCAGAAGTGCAATGAAAACTAATTTTAAAAATTAAGGATGTAATGCGCTCTTTTAAAATGAAACTTTCAAAAGAGGCTCTCTATATATATATTTACATATATTTATATATGTATATATATTGATGTATATTTATATATATTTATATATATTCCACCAAGTAACTACCAAAGAGAATCAGATTTGAAGAGCTTATTAACTATAGGAAAATGAAGAAGATATGGAAGCTTTCAAACTTTATTTTTTACTAGAGTCAGGGTGCAATTAAACCAACATATGGCCGTGAGTTGTTTAAATATGATAAATCAACAAAACAAAACAAAAAACAACCCCAAAACCAAAATAACCTCAATGTTAGCTATCCTGGGCCTTATGAAACTATCCTATCATGCAATATAAAGAGGTCTATCAGTCATTGGGCCTTGGTTATATAATATTCAAAATAAGAATGAAAGGGATACTTGTGGAAATTACTACTTTAATTGATCATTAGAACATGAAAGATAATGGTAACATTTTTATGGTTTGGTTTATGAAATATTACATATAATTTATCCACACACCTCTCAACTCTCTAAGCTGTGGGTAGACAAATAAAATATTATTGTTTCTACTTTACTGGCAGAGAAATTCAGCCTCAGAGAAATTAAATGATTTTTCCTGGGATATAGCTTATAAACAGAAAACCCAGGGCACAAATCTTGGTTTTCAACTACCAAATTTTATGAACCTTTCAGTATGCTTTATTGCCTCCTCAAGATACTGGAGAGAGGTATTTTATACACTAATAAGCTGATATACATGGTGGGGCTAATAATTTAGCTCTACTTCTTATTAACCTAGAAATACATTGAGTAAAGTTACTGGGTTAACACCTGTGAAGAATGAAAAGTAACCAAAGGTGTTTTTACACAAGACATCTCACCTATTAATAAGGAATTCCAGTATGAGAATCTAAAAACTGTCATGAGAATGGGCTGAAAACCATGAATGAATATATTCTTTGCAATTTTAAATTCTCTTCATATTCCTTTCAATCCTATACGATAAAGAAAAATTAACCACTCACCTTTACCTGGCATCCCACCTTCTCAAAGGACTTGATAAGCCTGTTGTTATGATACATCATCACACCAAACTGGTTATGATTCTTGCAAGAGAATCCAAAAGTGATTCTCACCTGCTTATTCTGAAGAGAAAAATCATTAAGGAGGCAAACACCAGAGGCTTCAGGAGAAAAAAGAACACATTACAGAAAAAAAACAAATTCCATTGCATATAGATTGGCATAATCTTTCTAGAAGGCATTAGAAAAGTCTCTAGCAATAATTTAAGAATATTATTAATTATGCTGTACAGATGGCTCGGCAACTAAGAGCACTTGCTGCTCTTACAGAGGACCTGGATTTGGTTTCCAGCACCCACATGGTAGTTCACAACTGTCTGTAACTCCAGCTCCAGGAGATATGATTCCCTTTTCTGGCCTCTGTGGGTACAACACAGCATGGATGCACTTACATACATGTAGGCAAGAAACTCATACACATATAATTTTTTAAAAAATCTTTAAAAATATATTATTTTTTGATTGGTTGGTTTTTTCACTTTTTTGTTGAGCTTTTAAAA